ACATCCATCCCCATGCCCAACTCTCAACCACACACATAATGAGGGGCAACAATTTCTTCCTTTGAGTGGTTTTTAGCACTGACCAGTCAGTACATGGTATTTTTTTAAAAAAGTGTTTCTTTCATGTTTAATATCCATGACCAGTCCTGCTTCAACGGCAATGTTTACGAGTTCAGTCTCATTACTGCAGTGTTGAAAAACATGTTTGGTGAGTTGCTTCACATCATTATTTGGTCTTTTTTAATGCTATGAAGAACAAGGTGCCTTTCATTACATTCAGTGGTATGAAGATACTCTTAGCTTAGAGCAAGAAGAATGCATTAGAGTGGAAAAAAACCATTTGATTTGGGCATTACATATTTTGTTCGCTAAAAATCTCTTCTTCTAGGGATTATGTATGAGCAGTGTTTTTGGTACATGTTGGTAATCAGATGTGAGATTTTTCTTTTCTTTTTTTGTGTGTGTGGTTTTTTTTATGGGCACAGCTAAATAAAAGTTAAAAGAAAGCTAAAAATATCAAATGAAAGGAGAGGTAATGATTCACTAATGGACAGTTGAAGCTCCGTCTCTATCCAGGGGCAGCAGAGAAGGAAGAGTATACTTAGCCCACACTTGCTGACTACACTTGTGGCAGAGCGCAAGGAGCGTGACAGTGCATGTGTACAACCAACAGTTCTACCAAAGTCCTCCAATCACCAGTGCAGGAACACACCTAACAGTGGAGCAGTCACAGGGACACTACTCAAAGAAGAAACTGCTTTCTTGTTTAACAAGTCCAGTTTCTTCATGCTTTTGATCTCTTGCTTTGCAATATTTTGCTGCTGAGAGCGATTCCAATCTCCTTTTCCAAAGCGAGTTGAAGGACATGATTAGAAGAAATCAATCCACTCTTTGAATTTCTTACTGGACAGACTCTATATCCCTCATTTTTTCTTACTGATGTGTGCAGAATCTGTCTCTCATTGCAGAAACTTCTTTCTGCTTTAACCAGTCAGGCTTCAATAGATGCCTGGATGAAGAGATTAACCAACTCTGGATACAAACAGGAGTGAGCCAAGAATTAAATTTTGTGTTGGTAGACTCACGATGGTTTGTTCTGCTTTCCTTTCTATACTTTGCCTTTTACCCATCTGAAGATGAGACCCACACATTTTCTTTCTCCAATTTAAGACCTTACTTTCCTCCTTTATCTGGGTTAGGATTTAATCTAGAGATTTCCAGTTAAGACCAAGAGGAGGGTCCTGGGATGGCTACAATACACCTATTCACCTCTTTTCTGGATCGCTTGAAAAAAAATTCTTTGTGATTCTGTTAGTTGTAGCAGGGCTAATAGAGTAAGCAGCTGGCACCATTTTTTTTCTATCCAGTGGCTCTGTTTCACTGACAACAAGCTGGAAACCCTCTGGCAGAGAGGGATGACTCCAAATACAACAGTAATTATTTGTGTTAGCTTTATCTTAGTGAAGCTTCAATGGATGATTTTTCCTAAAACAACTTACAGCATTTTAAACAATAAATTAAAATTTACTATAGAAGACCTTATTTTTCAGGACTATACAACTGACCCTTCTGAACCTACATTACTCAAGCTATCCAAAATATAGATGTATAATAAATGACTGTAGCATTTATGGAGTGGAACAAAAAGGATATTAACAGGCAAGCAAGGGGGCTGTGCAACCCTTGCTAGGCTTTATAAGATTTATTTTTTTAAATGAAGAATGTGTGCATGTGAAGGGTAGTATTCTTAATTGATACGCTTCAAGATTCCTTACAGAAATTCATGCAATATGATCCAAAATCTGTCCTCAATCTGGTTGCTCTGTTGTTGACTTCAGGGGGAGCAGAATTATCCCGCTGTTATTTTCTTGGATTTTTAACAAATTTCCCTTTCTGTGGGCACAATCCAACTTCCATTAAAATCAGGGGTGAGACTCCCCTAGACTCTAGAGGTGTTTGAGTCAAGGCCTAAGGGAGTGATCTATGGGAAGAGTGGAACAATACAGTGAATGATTTCCGCCTGCACTTTTGTGTGTGCACATTTTCATTTTCTAAATCCTGTGGTTTTGCTTTCATCCTTGCGTTCAGCAGACAAGAACTGCAGGGCTAGCTTGAGCTCCATGCTCCATGCTGAGACACTTGAAGTTGTGGACTTTCTGTGCTTTGAGAATGAGCTCAACATCGACCTGGAGGGATCAGGCCTTTTAGACCCAACAGTATGTATTAGTCTAGGGCAGTAGTGGGAATCAGCTGGCCCAAGGGCCAGATTTGGTCCCCAGGTTGCCTGGCTCAGGGTCCCTCTCCGCTAAGCACTCCAGCCCCTGCTGCCCCCCCACCCGACTGATTTTTCTGTGGGTCAGTGACCCCAGACCCCAAAAAAGGTTCCCCACCCCTGGTCTAGGGGAAAAAATACCCATTACTGAAACAGAGTAAGAATAATTTTCTTGTTTATTTTTAAAGGAAAAAAGTACCATTAAGAGGTCACCAGTGACATTCCAATAATTCATTATAGTTTCGTTTACAAGAAGCAATAAGGCTCCAAAACTGACATATTTAGTTTTACTAGGTTTTTACATTTTTTACATTATTCACTGTCATTGCTGCTTTTTGGGGTGGTTGTTGTGAAATGTGCTTCTTTAAGACTGAGCACTGCACACAGTAAGGAGAAAAGTTGTTGAGTAGCTGAAAACAAGTATCAACCAGACACAGAATCAGAAGGCTTCAGGGTGCCTCACAAAGTCTAAATTAAAATGTGACCTAATAAATAGAGGCAACATATTTTAAAAATTCAGAACTGGCAGAACGGATTTCACAGTTTAGCCAATTCATCTGCAAACCTGGCAATCCTTTTGCAATAAATTATAATTGTTTTAAAACACCACTGATAATAGAAGCTAGACACTGTCATTCAGTAGTCAGAAAAATGTTTTCAGATGTTGTGGTTAGAGATGAGCAGAATAAATGCCCTCAAATCTGAAATCTTTCAAATTTCAGAGGGAGAAAAATAGTGACCCAAAATGTCAGACACCTCAGCAAATCACCTGACACCACTCAGATTTCTAGAATGTGAAGCTGAAATGCCCTTAGAAAATCTCCTAAGATTTTGATATTATTGAATTTAAACATTAGCCCTAATTCTGCCTTGAACTTGAACCCTAAACTTTAATCAAAATGGAATCCAGATCTGAGCATCAGCATTTCTGACATCGCTATTTGTGATTTATTTAGTAACTAGTCAAGTATTCAATACATACATTGAAAATATGAAAGGAAACAGTAATATACCATAAAGAAGAGAGGCAGCAATAAAAGCAAACAAAATTAAAAACAATCAATCCAATGGATTTGTTGAAGGAATATGAGAATTTTACCCTGTCAGTATAGAAATGCCCCTCAAAGAGTGAAAAGGGCTTTAGATTGTAAGCCCTTTATGGCAGAGACCAAAAGTGTCTTTTCTGTGTTTAACCAGCATCCAGCACAATAGGGACCTATTCTCAACTGGGGCTTCTGGGTGTCACTACAGTAGTAAACATTTACTACTAATAATGATATGGTCAATTTAAAAAAAAAATCAGAAAAATTCAGAATAGCTAGGGATTGTATCAATTTCAACTCCCTCAATGTTGGATGTCATCATTTCTTGATTCCAAGCACTAATGAAAATAATTATCTGTAGTAACAGAAGGTACAGAATTTCAGTTGCCAATGGTGCCAATAAGACATGCTGTTTTTTTGTTGTTTGGTTGTGTGTGGGTTTTTGGTTTTTTTTTTTTTTTTTTTTTGAGGGGTGGCAGGTAGGGAAGAGAAGGGCACTGTTTTTATCCCAAGCTCTTGCTGTTATGTCTTCTGATATACAATCCCTGATTACAAATGGGCCCTTTTACCATGGAAGCAAGCAGCAATGGCTACTCCATGGGCTCAATTCCACACAGCCATTATTTTTACTTTGAAAATGTCCTACTCAGAGAATACTAGTACCTGCTCACAGAACTGACCTTTTGGCTTAGCCTTTCTCAGTGGGTCTTCTGTGCTTACAATTCCCTATTAAAACAATGCCACAGTCTCACAGCAGTATTCTTAAAATTCACAGACATGGCTGCTTTCCATTAAGGTCAAATGGCTGTCTCCAGAAACAATAGTTTTAGGGGGGGGGGAAAGGTAAGAAAAGCAGCCGCAAATGAAAATTTGAGTCCTACTGCATCTTTTCTGTCCACATAATACTACTGCCTTCTCAGAAGCATGCCAATGAAAATATAGACAGGTCTGATACATTTTATCACTCAAGAAGTGGTTAATAGTTTTGACTAGCTGCTGTGTTCATAGTTTTCCAGTCCTGCCTCAAGAGTGTCAGTACTTCAGTAGAGCTGCCTGTCAGCTTTATTGTGTGCACTTTTCTGGAGCGGAGAGGAGTGGTTGCGAGTGTGCGTGCGTGCACACACACACACACACACACACACACACGGAGTACTTCCAAGCCACTAATTTGTTTTGCAGGAGGATTTGAAATTCTACAATCTAAGATGATGATCTGAACAGACACTCTGAGTCAGGTACTTTAGAGTGTTCCGTTATCATGAAAACATCAATAAACAAATGACATTAAGAACACACCAATAAAAATTAAAGTAATGCTGTACACAACCCCTAGGGGGTCATGACTCGTGACCCATGGATTGAAAGCCTCTGCTAGACTGAAATAAACCCCACTCTTGCATGCAGCAGGCTCTATTACAGCATCCCCCTAATTAAAACAATTTTTAATGGAATAAAGATCTCCCACCAGGATTGTAGAGACAAAGGCTACTCAAGTTGTGTGAAACCATGGCATGCAACTATGAAGATGGCACACCATTCATTTTCAGAAATTTCAAGTCAATTGTTCAAAAAGACTGGGTGGTTTTAGACTAGACATACGTACTTATCACTTGAAAATGAAAATGCTTGTAGCTGTAATCATGGACTATTGCAATATTCCAAAGTAGCAGCAGGTAAGAACTTACCATTTTCTGGCTGGTCCTTAATATCAGCTTCACTTGGCTGGCTGGGACTTTCAGATTGACTTGAATCTGAAAAACATAAAAATACAGCCAAAAATTACAGGGTCTGCTGTGGAAAGTAGATCACAGGCGCCAGACTTCCTCAAAAGGTTGAAAGTACAAACTAAGGACAGGAATGTTGCCCTAAGACACGACAATGCCAGGAGCTCAACGCCCTGGTCATATTTATGCTAGAGAGAAAGTGTACTTTTTTTTTACAGCATTGCATAAGGTGTACAGTCTATGCATTAGAATAAATTAGGCTTAGAAAAAAATCTACCCTATAGAGAAGCCCTGATTTAAACTACTTTTCTACATTTTTATAATGCATTTAGTATGTTGCATCCAAACCTGAGACTTAACCCAGTACATAACTGAGAGCCAAAAGCGTATTTTTTAAATTGGCATATAAAAGTAACTAAGCAATGCTAACATGTTCTGATTATTGTCTCTATGTTACAGCAAAATATATCCACAATGCAGACAGAAGGCCTGATTCTCATCATGCTTGTACTGCAGGTACAGTGGAGTAGCACTCATTTATCATAGTGTATAGCGAGATCAGATGCCAAACCACCAGCTTCAGAACACACACCAATAGTGTGTTCTATAGGTTCCTACTTAAAAGTCTCCGGCTAACATACTACTACATTTGCCTGAAACAACGAAACAACCCATAAGGTCATTTCTGTTGATGTAGGGTTGTTCACCAACATTCACGTTTTTGTACTAAAAAGATGCTTGATTTTTAGCAGAAACTCTGGATCAACAAAAAAAAAATTCAAATTTATTTTTAACTGTTTGCTCTTCGACTTGAAAAAAGGAATACTATGTGTAAATAAATATTTTCTAAAGAGAAAGTCCACCTCTTAAATGGGTTTTCTTAACACAAAAAGAAACATTATAGAATTAAATAAATCACACAATTAGTTTTGGGTAAAAGAACAATTTGGGAAAATTGAAACTTAAAAAAAAAGTTTTAATTCAAAACACATTTCAGGAATACCACCATTTGTTACTGTATCAAAAGAATCTACAATTGTGGCAAACCTATTTCCTCACTTCACCTTGACAGTGCAAGGTTTAGAATTAGCTGTCTGAAATTGGACTACATTTCAGTGAGAAGTCAATGCAAGATCAAAAGGTCATGACACTTTACTGTGATTAAATTGAAAATCTTACTTCTATTGCAATAGAGCGATAACAGCACCCCTTCTTTTTCTTTGAGGTATTAATAGCACTGAAAGAAGCAGTACTACCAGAGACCTTGGGTCAAGCAATGCTAATTTATTGCTTTAAAAAGGGCCCTTGCTTTTAAGCAAATGAAGATTTTAATTACCACTAAGTACTATAAAGAAAGTGCCTATTTTAAATATTTTAATTTTTTTTTTACCTGCTGATAGTATCCATTATCTATCCTTCAAAAGCTTAAAGGACAATTGCATAAAAATTAAATACTATATCTTATAAAAGGTGTGTGCAACATAATTTCAATGAAATTTGTAACAAACATTAAAAATGTTTAGCAAAGAAAACTCCAGGGTAGATACGTGTATTTAAAATCAATATGAAGTTCACCAAAAAAAATATAGATTGAAAAATGTGATATCCCACAACATTACTAGCTACCTCTAAAAACTAGCTTGTCTGCCATCTTCTAAATGTATTATTTTAATAATTTACTAAAGAAAGCTTGCAAATATTTTAAACTTTGTCACTATCATTTATTTTAAATGTCAACTTTGTGGGTTAGCACTAGCTTATTCACCCAAAACTCAGAAGCTGGATAGCAGAAAGTTCATATAAGCCTGTCCTCAGAGTTGTCACTTTCTGGACACCATCTTTTGACAGAAGCGTAATGCTTCTTGTGCCACAAAGGTTAAAAAAAATCAGTTAATATTCAAGGAGTAATTCAACGTATTTCATTGAACAGGACACACATTATGTGTTTTTTCCTCTAGCAAGGCATTGTTCAAACACTGTTTGACCTTTCAAACTAAAATAATATTACCAGCCGGTAAAAATATTTTTAAAAAATTGGCAAAATATGGAAATAAGATGAATAACTAAAAAAATTTTTTTTAAATCATTTAGTCTGCAGCGGCAATGGCTGATCATTGGTACATGCAAGAATGCCAAGCTACGAGCTAGCACTGTTCTGACATCCAGTGCGGCACCTTCTCTCTTCACCGATGCTCCATCTCCTGTACTTAGCACAGAAACACAGACTTTCTGTCTGGATTCTGAGATACAAAGAACCCATTTTTGTGTATATTTAGTGCTGCTCTTCAGACATCAGAATTAGTGGCACGCTAGCCTTAGTGAGCCCGAAATGTTTGTTAGCATATTAAGTCTTGACTCCCTCCCACCCCCCATCTCACTATTAATCCTGTTTTTCTGCAAACCCTCCCATCCCGTAAAAATACCCCCACAAAATTATACCGTTTGGAAATGGGTGAAAGACAGTAAAATGAAACAAAATGTGTTTTTAAAAATATGGTGCTACAGATCATCAAAGGCTCCCAAAAATACTAACTGGGCAAATGTCTGTTCAGAATTGTCGCGTAAGGTATCGTCTCATGGAAACCCCAGATAAGAACACTGAAGAAGGCACTTAGCCAAAATGTTGCTATGCAGAATTTTGTTTCCGTGGTTTTATTCAGATGCTGCAGATGATCTGGCACATATAAATGTGCCCCGCACAATTAAAGGATTGGCAAAATTCAGTGCCATTGTTTTTTATAACCTTGTTGAGTGAGCACTACATATTTTGTTCATAGCCCAACACCCTTTTTCCTGATTTGGCAATAGCTTGCATGATTTTTCATGTTGACGAAGGAAACTTTAAAACCCCAGTTTTCTGAATGTTTCATGTATTGCAGGTTCTGATATTGTGGGTGGGGTGTCAGTTCTGCTGAGTCAGTCAGACAAACAGGTGACCAGAGAAATAAATTAATTTAGCTTATACATAATTTATATAAATGAAAGATTGCTTTACAGTATTTGCATGAAATCAATAAATCACTTATTATAAAGCAATTTAATGGATTTGATATTCTCCTATGTATTTGATAGCTGCTTCATACAATACACAAAACACTTTATGCCTATTTTCTTTAGCAATGACATTTCCAGTTAAATTCTACCACCTGCAATAATTAGAGCCATTGAAAAACATACAAAACAAAATATACAGTAGATGGGAGCCCTTCTTGAATCCAGGGCCCCCTGCGGCAACTTGTTTCATTGGTGCCTGAAGCTAAGGCTGGTAGGAAGCCAAAGAATCTGTATATTACAATAAAGTACATGTTATTAAGGGGTGTATTTAAATGATTTCCGATGGAGTGGGAAACATTATAGTTCATTTGATATTCAAGATAGTGCATTTGATATGAGGAAGCACTATTAGGGGTGCTGAAATATTTTAAAATCCTGGACTTTAGTTTATGTTTAAGGAAGCTTAACCTTGAATTGCAGTGGTTTTTTAGTTTAAAAAAAGCCCATGGATAGAATTTTAATCCTAAAGTAGCTAGAGCTAGCATGCATGAGTACACTCAGGTTACTGGACTATGTTGGCTCAAATGGGGCTGATCTCAATAATCATCACAGGGAAACAGAATAAAGGGAATTTTGAATCTATATTATTCTGTATCTCTAGAAGCCAATTATTACAGAAGATGGAAAAAAACCCAAAACCAAAATGGACCAGATTTTCTGAAGCAGCCTCTGATACTATGCTTGTATTCTCTGCACCTCCTAGGATCAAGACCTTAAAAACATGCTTTCCAAAAGCAACAGTAGGTGCTATATGGAAGACCTCAGTCTTCCTCAAACTGTGGACAGACATGGTCCTTTAGCTCAAGCAAGAGAGATTTGTGCTTTCTGACAATGATGGTCCTGGGTTTCATTCCCACTGCCAATTGTGGTGCCTTGTATGTGTGTGACCACAAATTCACTATCGTGTAGAAAAAGAGCTCATGGTGATGTGTACCACTGTGTAAAAGTGATCCACTGTTCAACAACAATACAATGGCAATATGAAAGGTTCACTGAAAACTCCGGGTATTAGCAACATCAACAGACTAAGAAATGTAGTCTTTACTTATAGACAAGGAAGAAACAAACCCGAAACAGAGGCAGAGAGGTATTCTGCTTCCCCACTGAAAAATTACTCTATTTTTACCAACAGCGTATACAGGCTGATAATCAAAATACACTTATCCACTTACCACTGCTACACTACTTTACAATAATGATGTACCTTGGAAAAGCAAGGAGTGTTACTGTGTGGTAACAGAAAATCTCTAACACTTTCATTGAGGACATGTGATATTCTTCTCTAGGTTTCCTGTCTGTATCTCTCCCAGAGTGGTAGTGACCGTAAGGAACCTGTCGTGGCTGTCTGGTGTTCAATGTTAAGTGAATTAGTGGGTGTCAGATTAATTCCTACCACACCAGTGTCCCCATCACAACTGAATCCTTGTTAGAGGTTTCATCAGAGAAGCCAGCATGTGAATGAGCATGGAAATGTATCTACCCTGTAACTGGGAGAGGTAGTCCCTTCAGGACAGAGGAAAAGCATGTCGGTGGGAATCAATGAGTAAGACTGTATTAACACTGCTCATGATGAGCCTGTTCTGCTGATAGATAAATACAGAGTTGCTTTCTTCACTACTGCCCATACAAGCCTTTCACAAGAGCTAGTAAGTGCACAAGTTAAATTTTCTTTCCATGTTTTTATGTTCTATAGGGAAAATATTTTATAATAAACTGACATTTTATTCAAGTTGCATAGTCCTATTTGCAATAAAATATTTATACAGTTGAGTTGTGTTCATGTAATACAGTTTTCATCTCTAATTTTGGGTACAGATTCTACCAATGATTTATTTATGTAAAAAAAAAATCTAAATCATATCTCTTGATACACAAACCTGCATGGTTAGCTTAACGGACAAGTGATTTACAAGCAGAAATCAGCATAGTTATTGAGACATTTTATACTTACTTTTATTACATTTCAATATATG